ACCTTCCCCATTGGCCCCTTAGTATTATTCATCCTTGAGACGGGCGGTCTCTTCCTCACACCACCAGCAGCTGCTACTAGCTTAGCTGTCTCGACCACCTTCTCCCCTTCATCTTCCTCAAAGATAGTCGGAGGTGCTGCGGGGGCACCGCCCAATTTCCTCTTCTTTTTCTTCTCCGGTTCCACGCTGGCAGAGCGCGACCTCACCGGCTCCGCCTCTGCTGCTGGCTTGGAAACGGCAGCTTCCTCGCCCTCGGCCTCCACCTCCGCCTCCTCTGAAGAGGGCAAAATAGCAGAAGTCTTCTTGACATGAGGCGCCGGCACATCATCAGCTCCCTCGTTTGCTTTTCCAGGTGAGGAAGGTTCCAATGGCTTTGGCGCATTCGTCGATCCTTTCGGCCTGCCGCGTGCCTTCTTCTCCACCATCTTCTTACCCATAACCGCAGCAGGTGCCTGGTCCGCCTTAGCTTCAGGCTCAACAGGCTCTTCAGCAGCAAGAGGCTGATCCTCATCCACGTCCATCGGCTCAGGCGCAGCAGCAGCACGCTTACCCTGCTGTCCGCCTACCGTAGCAACAGTAGGCGTCCCCTCCACCTCACTTATCGAATTCACCGTCTTGTTCAAAAACGGCGTAATCGAAAACGTCGACTTCTCCACCAACACCGACGTGTCAAAGCCCCTCTTCTTAAGAGGGCGCTTCGGCCTGTCGTCCATACCACCAGGTGTCATCAACACCTTCTCATCCACCATCAGCTCGTCCACCGTCCTCTTCTTCTTCGCGTTCGCCTTTGCCGCGCCGGGCTTCTTGATTGGAACAGTAGTAGTGCTTCCAAGTCCGGCAGGGATAGCAGGGACCTTAGCCGTTGCCGTCGCCACTCGCTCGTTCGCCCTTTCCAGCTCAGCTCTGCACTTTTTGAGTTCTTCGACTGTATCCTTGTACTTGTTCTTCAGCTTCTCAACCCGGTTGAGAAGGGCGTTCCTTTGCTCTTCAGCGTCCTCCATGGCTTGCTCGTTCTCTTTCCGGAAGGCTTCAGTCTCCTTTTGCTCTTGAGTTAGCGCCTTCTTGAGGGTTGTGAGTTCCTCCTTCAGCTGTTCGACTTCTTCCCCGTCAACAGCAGTCTCAGTGGTCTTCTCCGCCTTGGCCGCCCTCTTCAACGCAGCTTTCTTCTCCTTTTCCAGCTCTTGCACATTCAACCTCAGCTGTTCAAGCTCCTCCTGTACCTCAGCTACCGCCTTCTCCTTTTGCGCAGCCTGTTTCCTTTCCACTGCAACAGTCTTTTCCAGCGCAGCCAGTTGCTCCCTGAGCCCTTGGATCTCTTCCTCCACTTCGTTACTCTTTAGTGAAGCCTTCTTCTCCTTTGTCAACTGCTTCTCCAGCTCCCTGATTTGTTTCCGTAGGCCCTCTTCTTCCTCCTGGTTCTGGTTCTCGTTTTGCTGCTGCTGAAGCAGAGCAGCCTTCTGCGCGGCCCGCTTCTCGTTGGCGAGCTCGACCTCCAGCGCGTTAAGCTGTCGTTCAAGCGCTAGCTTCTCGGCGAGGACATCCTTTTGGTGGGTGAGCTGCGACTTGAGGTGTTCGACTTCTGGCTTGAGTAGAGAGAGCTCGCGGGAGAGGGCGAGCTTTTCGGTGAGGACTTTGGAGGAGTCGACAGAGAGGTGGGAGAAGGCAGTTATTTCTTCCTGTACACCCGCATCAGTATATTACTGGGAAAGGGGTAGCAAAAAAGGGGTGGGTCATACCTTCAAGTTGGAGATTTCACGATTCTGTGTCTGCATCACCTTCTCTTGCCTCCTGCAGCGTTCATGCAGGCTGTCAAGCTGTTGGCGCACATCGTCGGCTTGGTCAACTAGATCCTTGATCCGCGCGTCTCTCTGTGTGATTTGGTCTCTGAGGATGGAGGCTTCGTCCTGCAGGAGAAGTTGTCGGACTTTGGCTCGTCGCGCGTCCTCTTCTCTGATGACGAGTTCTAACTGGTGGGTGGATTGCTGGTATTGGAGATCAAGTTCGTGAATTTTTTGGGTTCTCTGGGTTGCATAACACATGTTAGAACAATAATTGGGAGTGTAAAGACTTCAATGGCAATTTCGCACCTTTTCAGAGTCCATGTTTACATGGTGCGACGACGCGTTTTTCGACGGCATGGATCACGTACAATGCGCGCAAGGGCGCAAGAAGAATAACAAAAGACTGTTGGGTTAGTAAAACTGAATCGACGTTCACTAGGGAGTCGTCGGCCTGCGATTGAACAGGCAAAGGGGGCGTTGCAATGGTTTTGGTGAGGTGTGATGACGGAGAGAAAGTGGTGCGCCGGTGGCTAGGGGACCAAAGCGTGCACTCCAGGTTTGAGAGTAAACAATCTGCCCGAAACAGTCTAGCGGAATCCGCCCCCACCATTTTTCCACCCTTCAGCTCCTCCTGCCAAGACATGGCAGGCGATGACAGCGCAATCGCCGGACCGTCTCGCAGCCTTGCCAGACCTGCCAAGCACGGGAAGCTGCAGGGGTGCAACTGGCAGAGCTCCAGCTCCACTGCAACGGTTCGCTGACGCTGAGGACACAGTTGGAATTGGATTGGGAGAAGCTATCGAGCACCCTCCACCCGACACCCTTTTGATTTGTTTGCTTTCTTTCAGACGCATCCCGAATCACACAATGCGCTGGCTGCCCGCTTTCCTGACGGCTTCGCTGGCCTTCGCTGGCGGGTCGTTGGCAGCAAAGAAGACGAGCGAGGAGCGCTTCAACTCATTCCACGCCAAATCTATTGCCTCGTCCTCGGCGGCACCTATCAAGCTTAGCGATGCCTCCTACAGGGAGCTTACCAGTCAACCGCGCGATTACACTGCCGCCGTGGTCCTAACCGCCATGGACTCCCGCTTCAACTGCCAACTCTGCCGCGAGTTCCAGCCTGAGTGGGATTTGCTTGCTCGCAGCTGGGTCAAGGGAGATAAGGCTGGTGAATCAAGGGTTCTCTTTGGTACCTTGGATTTTGCAGACGGGAGGGAGGTTTTCATGAGTGTACGGAGCCCTGAGCACGACTTTCTAGAACCACCACAGCTAAACTGTCTCCAACTTTGATATAGCTCGGCCTCCAAACGGCCCCCGTCCTCCTCCTCTTCCCACCCACCGTCGGTCCCCACGCCGTCGCCAACACCGAGCCCCTCCGCTATGACTTTTCCAACGGGTAAGCTAACCCCCCTTCCCATACCCAATCTCCAATCCTAACAACTCCCTCCCAAAACAGCCCTCAAATCGCCGAAGTAGTCCACTCCTGGATCGCCCGCCACCTCCCCGACCGTCCCCACCCCCCAGTCAAGCGGCCCATCAACTGGATGCGCTGGATCTCCACCACGGTCCTCACCCTCGGCAGCCTGACAGCCTCCTACGTCGCCTGGCCTTATATCGTCCCCATCATCCAGTCTCGCAACATCTGGGCCGCTCTCACCCTCATCTCTATCCTGCTCTTCACCAGCGGGCACATGTACAACCACATCCGCAAGGTCCCCTACGTTGCCTCGGACGGCAAAGGAGGTATCAGCTACTTTGCTTCTGGTTTCCAGAGTCAATATGGGCTTGAGACGCAGATTGTTGCTGCGCTGTGTAAGTTTTCTTTTCTCTTTCAGTCTAGGTGAAACAAGGGATATTTGCTGATATTTTGGGGAAACAGATGGTTTGCTTTCTTTGGCTGGCATCTCCCTGGCCATCAAGGTGCCCCGGATTAGCGACTCTAAGAGACAGGGTGTTGCTGTGCTGGCTTGGGGTGGCGTCTTCTTCTTTACCTATGCGTTCTTGCTGAGCATCTTCCGTGGAAAGAACCCGGGGTATCCTTTTAGGCTGCCCCCTTTTGTCTAAATGGCAACCTGATGTCGTTTAAACGGTTTTTTTTCCCGATGAGCAAAGACGAGAAGAGGCATATTGTTTGTCAGAAGGGAGATTCTCCATGACAGGAGGGCACCAGAAAGAGGGGGGAAGCAAGGGTGTTGTTTTTCAAGATATAAAATAAGAGATGTGTGTGTATAACAGTACCCCCATGCTGGGGGGGGGTTCATTTGATTTGGTATTTAGCATCTAAAAGGCGCAAAAAGATTTTGAAGTTAGGGGGAAATGAGACTCAAGCAGTCCTGAATGGTGATGAAGGCGTGCAACACTCTACACACACATGAACGAATAAGGGTAACAAGCCAGACTTGTTGCAAAGCCGGTGTCATCATCATGCGCAGCTCCTAACGTCTCCAGCATCCACGATGCTGTTTGTTCAAGCTTGGAAAAGATCCGCTAGCCCGCGATACTCTCGATTCCAGCCGTGCGTACCGGCGGTACGGCTTATGGAAGCTTGGACGAAGTCGTTAGGGCAAACTTGAAACTTAATCTTCGTTGTCTGAGTTGGCGTATATAAACCTAGCATCGGCTTTTTTCTTCGTCTTCTGTATAAAAGGTCACATTAACTTTCCACATTCATCCGCACCTTTGAAAACCTAGAGCTCGGACTCGTCGCATCACAGTCAAAATGCAGGACGTCGCTATTAAGACAAGTTTTCTTGTTCTTTTGGATATACATTGCGGTGATTTGACCGAACGAGCCCAAACCGCACGAATTCCACACATCTCGGGACCTCCTTCACCGTATCAACGCTCCCTGAAGCTAGTCATAGCTGGCAATCGCGACTTTACACTCGATCTACCAAGATTGAGCACTGGTGACCTGTAGAAGTTGCTATCTTGGCTCTTCCCTCAATCAGTGCAGCCAGCGTTGCTGGCAGCCGTCCAAAGCGGTCCGGTTCATGATGCCAGAGACTCGACAGGAGGAGAAATATGTGTGCACGTTTATTGATGGCTATTTCTCTTGCCTAACCTCAACCCGCCATCCTTACCTAGCAACCTCCTTTCCGTCCCAAACCCACTGCCTATCTCCCTGCCTTTTTAACCTTCTGATATATATCCCCCTTCGTTCCTCGCTTCTGACAATTCACACAACCCCTACAGCAGGTGTCCACACCTGCCAAGAAGTCTTCCGTAGTATAGTGGTCAGTATGTGAGCTTGTCATTGTCATCCTTGACAATAAACACGCTCGAGACCCGGGTTCAATTCCCGGCGGGAGAGATAGAATTTTGCCAGGGGCTCAGCCTGGCTGATCGTTTTGTAGTACTTGCTGCTGGCTGCAAAAAAGATAAGCAGGGACCGAGGAATTATTTTGGTAATATTGCATCTCTTTTTTGCAAAGAATATGATACATAGGGTACAATTAAGCTCAAACCAACTCGATGTATAGTTGTTAAACAACAATATGTAACGAAGGGGAACACCGTATCACAGCTGGGGATTCAAGAAAACAAAATTGAGTCTGATGAAGTTGTTTGGAAGGCTCTGAAAAAAAAAAGCTGGATAAGAACGTAAGAGGTCTCGAAAACAAAAAGGTAAAAAAAAGTCTCGGGCTTCCCGAGGGAATATAAATACTTCAGGAGGAAAAGAAAAATGAGAATGCCCAATAACAGGATTGAACTGTTGACCTTCGCATAGACTATCTATAACACAACTGTCGAGATGTTATATTAGTACGACGCTCTAACCAGCTGAGCTAATCGGGCTTCCAAAGCTGGATTAATGCTAAGGAAATGCGATTGTGGATATAAGAGCATAAAATAAAGACCAAGAGAGAAGGTGAGGAGGTCTCTTGTCACGAATGAGAGGCATAAGTAGGTCAAAAACCAATATCATTGCCTGTCTATCAATGTAATCGTAAGATGAAGAAGAAAGGAAGAAGTGTGGGCTTGCAGCTCCATCTTCTTGTCATAAAACCCCGGTCGGAACTCCGGATCTGCATTCAACCCCAACCCTGCATCCTGTGTAATCCTGTCCTTCACCACCAAGCCGTGACACCTCTCGATTATATTATTATTACTCTCGATTATATTGAAAAAGCTCTCTACTATCTTTAAAGATCTCTAGCCTATCTTGAAAAGCATATCGACTATTAGTCGAGGCTTATTTATTTTATTCTTTTTTTTTTTTTTTTTTTTTTTAAAAAAAAAAAAAAAAAAAAAAAAGAAACCTATTGACTATGATGGCGCTGGCGCTGGCGCCCCAGCACCATCACCATATATACACCACTGGTCTGAGTCAAGCCGGCAACCTTGACTCACCTGTAGCTTTTGATAGCAGTCACAGTTGGTTTGGTGCAGTGGTCCTGCCTACCGTGACATTGACTATTTTTTATAGTCTCTATCTCAAATAAGAGTCTTCATTTTCTTGTATATCCATAATGTGAGAGGGTACAACATACGGATGATAATGTCATCGTTCCTCAAACGGCATCTCAACAACACTCAGCCACAAGCAGGGAAGTTTCCCTCACTGAGGACTGATTATTAGCAGGGGGATGCACGGCTGGAGTCTTTGTTTACGTTAAGCTTTTCGAAGCCTTAATCCCGAGGTGTTTGAAGATTATATGTGAATATTTGCCTAGGTGGTACTATAATGCTCCCCGTTCTTCAAGCTTTGAACTCTAAACCTCGCCAGGCCAGCCGTTTCATCCAATTCTACGGGCTCGCCCACAGTGATCTCGCTCTTGGGTGCGTTATCTAAGGATGAAGGAATAGGCTTTGACGCCTCTTTGCCTTCCCAGTGCCTAGCCTCCTTTGCCAGAGGGTGCCACCAGTCTCCTTCCCGGGCATGCCATTGCTGACTACACAACTCCCAGAGTCGACTCGTGGCTCTCTTGTATGCAAACCTCTCGTCTTCACCAGTAAAGCCTCCAGTCTTAGTGAAGTCAATCCTATTTTCTTGTTCTTTGCCAAAGTCTGAATCTTGATCTGGATTATATTTCGCATTTTGAGAGTCGGCATAAGTCGAGATGTTGGGCCGGAAGGGAGACATTTGATCTTGGAAGACTTCTGCAATGGTTTCGGAGTATGTGGCATCTCCGACAATCTCTTCTTGACCATCTGTCGCGCCTGCTACGGTCTGTGACCGGGTTAATGCCCTCATTTCTGGAAAGAACAAGTCATCAGGGCCAACCTTGGCGCGGACGATGAGCTTGCATCTAGACTCGTAAAGAGCATCCAAAAAGGTGATGAATCTTCTGGCCTCGTTCTTCATGGAAAAGTCCAGAACAGGAACATTGTCGATGATGAAAGTGTGATAGTTGGATGCCAGACTGATGTAATCTGCGGGACCAAGAGATCTCACGAGTTCATCAAAGCTCCAGCATGCCACTCCATCACGTTGTCTGGGGACATTCACATACCTCCCATACACTATGTGAGAAGCTGGCTTCCACTCGGTGGTCTCCGAGTAAAGGGTCTGCCATTTTTCCTGATTTGCGGAAGGAAGGAAATACATGGCTGCCGCTGGAGCCGAAGGGTTGCTCTCAACATGTCCCTGACTCGGCTCAGCCGTACTGGCGACTGTTTTTGCTGACCAGCTATCGGCATGTAAAGGCTGAGATGAAACAACTGAATCCGTCACAGGGGCCGCAGCACTGCCCTGGCTTTCCCTCCTCCGCCAGTCCCGGGTGCCTTCCATATGCCAGAAGTCACACCGAGCCTTGAGAACTTCCAGAAAGCTGGCAAAATCACTTGTCTGTCCGAACAGCTCGCCATACCGACTCTTTCCATAACCCAACACTCTTTCCACGAGACCGCCGGTGGTTGGCGGCGAGTAATAACCTCCTGTGGCTTTCTCAAGCTCCTCAGGCATTCTGTTGGAGGAAGCAATTAGAACACCACCCAATTGGAAAAAGGCAATGAAGAGATTGTTCATGATTTTGCTCGCAGCCCGATCAGGCAGCTGAAACTCGTCAAGAAAGAGAATGGGAGACTGCTCAACCATTTCCTTTGCTATCCACAACAGCGAATACTCTGCGCCATCCTGCGACAAGATTTGGGAATCTGACTTCCGAAACTCCTCCAGCCGCGAAAAGGCGTGGAGCATAAATGTGTTGTAGTGCCATCTTTTTTTCCCCTGTGTAGGCAGACCTTCGGCTAGTAGATCGAGAAGCATCGACTTGCCTGTGCCTACCTCTCCGGAGAGGAAAAGCCCTTTGGGGGAGTTGAGATGGAGAGCGGCTTGCTGGTCTGTCAGCGTTCTTGTCAGGGCAAGGCTGTCTTTGATCTCATCCCGCTGGAACAGCTTGGAAAAAAGGGGATTCCGTCGAATAGGATGGGTGGGAGAGGCAATATCGTCTCCTCTATTTGCATTTGTGGTGGCCGGATCAATGGCTCTCGCAATCCGACCCAGCCTGCTTCGATACTCGTGGGTGGGTTTGTAGTCCTTTAGTCTTGTATATATCTTTTGGAGGTGGTGTGCAAGGCGGTACTGTGCCGCATCAGGACTGTAAATACCGGTAGCTATCAGGGACGTGTACTTGACAAAAGGGTCAGTGATGGTGATGGATGTGGCTGCTCGGTTCATGGCTGAGAATTCCCCTAGAGATTATGAGCATGAAATATCCAAAGCAGCCTCTCTGTTGATAGAAAACCTATCGAAATGGAGAGTCATCGGCCAATGGTGTCTTTCTTGTTCCACGCCGATAAGGTTGAATAGTGTGCCGTTGGTCGTGGTGGTGCGACGGAATAAAACGGGCGACGGAGCCCTTCAATCCGCGATGATGTCACTGACAGTGGTCCCCTAAAAATCCTCAGAATCTGCTATCAGCAACGGTGGAGGGACCCATTGCCAGGCTTCTGCACTTGACAGCGAGAAGAGAGAGTGATGAAATGGTGTGATGATGGAAACACAAACGGTCAGGCGAACAGTAAGAAAAAAAATAACTACACAAAAGCTTAAGCACAGCGAAGAGGCCCGAGAGAGAGAAAAGTTCCCAGGAGAATCGCATGGCTTCTGGGCATGAAACTTGTTAGCGTGAGACTTCAATATCAAACCACGTTCTTCAAAGATACCACTGTGTGTTGTTAGAGACAAACTCTGCATTGTGTGCAAACCATCGAGGAACTCTATGAAAGCTCTACTACGCCTCATTCAAGGCCTGTAAGCTTGTTTTAGGTTTTACAAAGGCCTTGTATTGCTCAACTATCTACCAACATCTCCAAGACATCTCGAGATGATTATTCCTCCCATCCATAAAGTCTCGCTCTAACACAATCCAGCTGTGGAGATCTCTTGTCTTGGCAGTGCTCCCCAATCGGGTGCTAGCGCGAAGAAAGCACTGGCAGCTTGGTCTCCACGTTTTGAACCTTGCAGCCAATAAGCTCTCGATAACTTTTTGGCCAAAGTCAACACAGGCCAATCGCTGAAGGCTTCGTCACTCGTGCCTGGAGAGGTCAAACCGAGAAGAAGAAGCGTCGCCCTTCAATTCCATCCTCTTCCGCCCGCCTCAGACCCGACAGTAGCCTCTATTTATCTTTTATCAGCGATTTCGAGCATTCTACTGATACCACCTGACATGCGGGGATAGAGCATCGACTGCCTGAATTCCACGAACCAAGCGGCGTCTTGCTCAAATCGGCGGTCCCGTCGCCAGGTCGCGCAGCATCAGGACCTGGAGAAAAAAAAACGATCACCACATCAAGTCGCGACCACGAACAACATGTTTTCACCCACCCTCCAAGAAGGCGGGCCCGCGAAGGGAACCCGCAGCAGTCGTCGTCGCCAGCGCCCTTTAAGCGGCGAGAACTCAGCTCAACAACCCAAAGCGAAACGGCAACGAGTGCCACTGTCGGAAACTATGTTTGCGAATCCCGATGCCGCGTCTGACAACTTTGAGGTGAAGTCGGACCAGATCGACTTGCTCGGCGCAAAAAGCGACGGCATTGAGAATGTTGGCGTACCGCGAAGGGAGCTCAGTGTTCGTTTCAAGAAGCCAAAAACTGGCGAGAGGCCAAACAAGGGCGATGGGAGTGTTGTCCTGGTATGTCGCTCATTTCGTGCCGATGCGCCGTGGATGTTGTCGATGGGTGCTGACTGATTATCTTTTACAGACACAGAACAATGCATACACAGTGAGCAAGCTGCCAGCGTTGCCGGATAGGCTCCGCGCCGACGCGCAAAGTAAGCCCGATTCGCTTGTGCCCTTAGACGAGAGAACTTCGCGTAGACTTCTGATACTAAATGCTTCAAAAGACCGACAACAGGGCGCCATCTTTTCCTCCAGCGGCTATGCTTTAAGCCTTACCCATACCCATGCCTTTGTCTGGCCATATGCGTCGACCGTCTCTTCCCCTGAAACATTCGTCTTCACACTGCCCTATCCCTCGAAGCACGTCAACGACCCTCTGCCTCTCGGCTCTCTGGTCCCGGCATCCGCCGCCTCCGATGAACCAGGCCTGGTGGTTGTTATGCCAGTCAGCGGCAAGATTGCCTATTGGGAATCCATTGCGAGCGCTGCTACTCTCGACTTCATCCGCCAACAACGAAACGGTGTCGAGGACACCATCCCGGGTATGTTCTCCGGCGAGCATGTTCTTCAAATTGTAAACGCGGAAACCTCTGGCTTCGTCCTTGTTCTGAGCAGCGGACGCCTTGCCTACATGAGCGTCAGGGATACCCATGGCCGCCCTGGAATTTCTGTACAATTCCTCCGCGACGGCCTGGCTAGCAATTTGGGGGGCTTCCTTGGCAACATCCGCAA